CGATCAGCTGCCTCCTGCACATCTCCTATTGGGGATGTGCCCGCAACCTAGGTATATGCCCTTGACCGGAATCAAACCTGGGACCTTTCAGTCCGCAGGCCGACGCTCTATCCACTGAGCCAAACCAGTTTCGGCATAAAACCTTTTTTTACTATAGTTGGTTTCAGACGTAGACTCTGCTTAAGCTCCAAGCTTAAGAAAATATGTCCTGGAATTTACATATTTTCCTATACAAGGCCTTCCATTTACATTAACCATTCCTGTGAAAAGGAGGTATGAAATGTTTATTATAACCGAGCACATTGCTACCTTAACAATATAAAAATTCTATTATTAAGGGAAAAGAGAAGAAGGGATATCAGGTAGGCAAGAGTAGTCTCTATCTTAGTGTTAAAAAATGCATTTGTTCTGTGAATGAATAAAATCTTCATTAAAGTCACTCCAATTTCCTCAACTATCAACATTCATTTTCTTTTTTTTCTTCACCCAAGGAGTGAGAATATTTTTTTCCACTGATTTTTAGAGAGTGGAAGGGAGGAGGGAGGGGAAGCAAGAAAGAGAAACACCGATGTGTAAGATTCCTGGTCTAGGGGCGGGATCAAATCTATAAGCCAGGTAGGTGCCCCTGACCCGGAAATGAACCTGCAACCATCTGGTGCAAAGGCCAACCCTGCAACCACTGAGCCATGCCTGCCTGGGCAAAACATTCATTTTCTTTTATTTTTTTAAGTTCTGTGAAATAACTTTACTTTTTAAAATGTGTCTTTATTGTTGAAAGTGTTACAGATTTCCCCCTTTTCCCCCACTGACCCCTTCTAACTCACCCCCCGCTCCCTGCAATATTCATTTTCTAACTCTGTCTTGGCAATATTTATTTCCTTATTATCTTAGGTCATTAGCTTTTTTGACTATTAAATAATTGTTACATAACTTTCTGTTATGTAACAAGTCTGTACCTTGTTTTCTCAACTAAATTAAGTCCTATGTTTACCTTTTCCTCTTTACTTATGGAATATTATCAGTGTGCTATGAATAATTTCTCTTAATATGTGTGTTTGTTCATTCAGGCTACTATACCAAGATACCACCGTGGCTTAAACAATAGGGATTTATTTCCCAGAGTTCTGGAGGCTGAGAATTCCAGGACCAAGGTGTTGACAGATTCAGTGCTTATTGAGAGCTTCCTGGTTCATAGATGGTGACTTCTTGCTGTGCCCTCACATGATAGAAGGGAATAGGGAGCTCTGTGGGGGTCTCTTTTATAATCGCGTTAATCCGATTCATGAGGACTCTGCCTTCATGACCTAAGTAGCTCCCAAATATCCTACCTCTTAATACCATCACATTGGGCATTAGGATTTTAACATGTGAATTTGGGGGGTGGCGTGGGGGTGGGGGACAACCATTCATACCATAGCAAGAAGTAATTTCCAATATTTAAAGAGAATAACATACTTCAGAAAAGAGATAAGGGGAATAACCGCTTTCTATTGTGATGATTAATTTGATTGACTATATATCTCAAATTGCTTTAGGTGTACTTCCACTATGGATTTTTTAAAGTATAGTAGTCCCCTTTAAGTGAAGTGGGGGAGATATGTTCTAAGACTCCCCAGTGGATGCCTGAAACCACAAATAGTACCAAACCATATATATATAGTTTTTTTCCTATATATACATACCTTTAAGAGGTAGCATTGCAGATGAGCTTCCATCTAAGTAGAACTATGTGGTGTGAGTACTCAGGTATTCTGTGGAAACAAGAGAAAAAGGGTTAATAGTTGGAGCAAATCATAAACTTCGTTTCCGGGTCTAAAGATCAATCAGTCAAGAAATTTTCTAGGTTTGAGATCAAAGCATCTTTTTTTTTTAATTTTACTTTTAGCCTATAGATTTTTTAAACTATCTTTTTTTTTTTTTTTTTTTTTTTTAGATCGAAGCATCCATCTCTTCAGGTGGCAGAATGATGACAGTTTCAATCTGATGAATTTTCCTGGTTTGCAGTTTGAATGTCTGGTGATATCAGGGTGTTGTGGTGAACTCTCTGAGTGGCCTGCACAGACATAGGCATGAAGAAGGCACATATATGATCTGCTGTGGTGATGTCTCTGAAGTTTATATTGAGTGGTTCCCCTTTAGCTAGTTAGAATATGGAGAAAAGGATAGTTTTAGGTTTTAGTGATTCTAAGTCTAAAAGATGGGAGAAATTTGGAAATGTTGGTTTGAAGAGTTGTAGCCAGATATTAGGGAAACTAGAGGAATTCAGGATCCAGTCCAGTTTTCAGGTAGATAACAAAACCTCAAAGACAGTAAACAGGACTAGAATCTGATAATGGGTACACAATAGTTTTCTACTGCAATACAATTTTTCTCTCTACAGTCACCTCATTTTTACCAAAGATATTCACAGTAACGCTATTTCATTTGCAAAATAAGTCCTAGTCTCATTAAATTTGGCCTAGTTTTAAACACATATAGCAGGAATAGTAATTTTATGCATGTTTTTAGAGATGATATTTCACTTAAAGTTTTGCTAATATCCAAAGAGCTTTATTGACTCCATAAAGTCAACTTTAGTTTCTTAAAATTGTCTGGTATTAAAGAATCTCAGATTAGATTTTAATAGTTTCTTGAGGCTAAAAAGCATGAAAGTTCAATGGGATTCAAAGTGAGTACACAGTTCAGCCCTGGCCAGTTTGGCTCAGTGGATAGAGCATCGGCCTGCGGACTGAAGGGACCCGGGTTCAATTCTGGCCAAGGGCACATGCCTGGCTTGCGGGCTTGATCCCCAGTGGGGGGCATGCAGGAGGCAGCCAATCAATGATTCTCTCTCATTATTGATGTTTCTATCTCTCTATTTCTCTCTCTTCCTCTCTGAAATCAATAAAAATATATAAAAACAAGTGAATACACAATTCAAAGATAAAACTGTTAAGAATTACAAGAAGGCCATAGACTATTAAACCAAGTGTGAAGCCCTTCTGAACACATGGCCCCAAGTACAAAGTAAGTGTATCATGGAAGCCATTTAGTGAGCATCCTGCACACTGTATGGCAATAAGGCAGCAAAAGGCAGTTACAGACACATATGCATCTCATATATTCATGTGCATGTTCTACTGTCTCATCAGGCTTCACTTACAAGTCACAAGTTCAAAGATAAATGATTAAGCATTTCAAGATGGCAAGAGCAGAGCATTAAACCAACTGCAGGGCCTTTTGGTTGAAAACAGGTCATGCGCCCATGAATCCAGCCCTGCTCTCACCTTTCACTTCATACCCTCTGGCCTCAAGTAATTAAAAAACCTCTCTGCTCCTTGCTTCTTGATTCTTCTGCACATAGGCGTCACACTGCCCAGGTGTAGCAAACTGAGGACTAATGGAGGTAGTCTGGTGGATGACACTGGAGAACAAGTTGTTGTTGGATGTAGAGAAGGATATTCTAATCTCTTCCACTGAAACCAGGAAGGAATGAGGTGAGGCTTAGACTAGGGTAAGGGTGTAAATGTTATCTTTCTAAAAATTTCTTTTTACTTAGAAAATAAATAGTATACAATCTTATATTGGTTATGTCAGTGTGCGCTGTACGGATTTAATATTTTTATATCTTACAATGTGATTACCCCACTAATTAAATGTGGGTTTTTTTAACAAACAAAAAAAAACCTATAACTTTCATAAATTGAATGTCTAAATTCAAAGCACTTGATTAGGTTGTTTATCCATTGCTTTATTGTCCCAGTGAATATTTATCAACTTACTTCAAATTGCTAAACAGATGTTAAAGATTTAACTATGAACAGGTAGATGGAGTTCCTACCCTTATTCAACTTGAATAACCAGGCAATGGATGACAAGTCAGTGCCACAAGGTAACCCAGGGGAACATGCATGGCACGAAGGAAGCACAAAGCAGGGCACTTAATGGAGCTTTGAGGACAGATAAGGCTTCTGCAAGAATTTACCTCGACAATGACACCTGCAGCATGCATAAGAGTTAAATGTTACATGGGATGCGGGGGCGGGGAAACCCTTCTTGATGCACAGCACAGTGTGGGCAAAACCAGCAAGAGGAATTCCAACGAAACGCAAGAAAATTCAGAACAGCTGGGACCAGGAATCATGGGGATCTTTCAGGACCAAACACCTAGGAGCTCTTAAATGCCGTGGCAGCCTAAATTTAGGAGTTTCCTAATCAATCATATCTGCTTGGTCCAAATGTCACCATGAAGAACAGAAAGGAGTGGAGCCAGCGGTCAGAGTAGGCACCTGCGCGGCTCATGGAACGAGACCGGGTAGTGGGCTGGCTTAGGGGATGGGAAATAGCGACGTTTGGACGTGGGAAATATTCAGAAAATAGAACTGGGTGACTGGACGTTGAAAGGCTAAGGGAGAATAACCAATCAATCAGAAAGATTCCCCAGACTCCAGTGGGGAACTGGATGGACGCTGGTGCCATTTCCTGCCGGTTAAAGAGCCACAGGTAGCCGGGTTAAGAGAAAGAGCCCGCCGCCGAATATCTCAGGTATCTGCAACTTCCCCAATAAGATCCTGTGAATCCAAATGTGCTCCCTACTGTCCTTCCTAAAAGCTGCCTCGGTGCAGCAGTTCGACTGCCTGGGCGGGCAACCAAACAAGGAGCTTCTTCTCGCAAGAGGGAACCCTAGAGCACAGCCTCGAAGATGGGACGCCGCAAAACTAAAGTTAAAACAGGAAGCTTCTGAGCCCTAAAATACCCACCCTTCAAAGGACTGGGAGCGGCTCCACCCCCAGAAGCCAACAACTCAGAGCGCAAAAGTGCCGGCAGGTCCACCCGCTTGACAGCCGGCTCCGCCCTCCCGGGACTCGGGAGGAGAGTGCCCGGATGTGGATGCTTGACGACAGTGCGTCACGTGAGGACGCCCGGGGGCGGGGCTCTGCCTGCGTCGGCGAATGCGCCGCCGCCTCACGTGACCGCCACCCAGCCAGCCAATGGGCGAGAGCGGAGGCGAATTTCGAATGTGGCTGCGGTAGTCGGCGGGTGACGGGAGACGGGGCTGGCGGTCCGGGAGCTCGGTACACGCTCCGCCGGGTGCTGTCGCGGAGCCTGGGGATGTGAGGAGGAAGACAGACGCGGCAGAGGTGGTGGCCAAGGTACGGCTGCGGGCGCGCCGGTGGGAGGCGGGTCTCCTGGCCCTTTTCCGGCAGCGCGCCTCCCGCCCCCCCCCCCCCCCCCGGCCCACGGGCTTTCCGGAAGCCCCTCGGAGAAAGAGGAGGCCGCACAGCGTTCGGATGGGGATCGGAGGCGTCGTGACCCCGATTCCTCTTCCCGCTGGGTCTCTCTGCCGTTCTAAGTTCGGCGTCCAAAAACGGAGGCTGCGGAGTCGGACTCACCGGGTGCCTTTGTCCTGGCCACCCGACCCGCGCTTCCCGAGGATCCAGTTTCCTCTTCTGTGGAATAAACGGGGTCCGGAACCTCCTGTCCCGGAGAATTGTGTGAATTATGCGATGTGTAAATAAAACACTTAACGATCGTTCAAAGCCAGGCTCGGCATAAAGCACAGAGCCAGGCAGCTGTGTTTTGTGCTTTTGCTTGGCCGGTTCCCCCGGAGAAGCCGGCCTGACAGTGTCCCGGTGCCCTGCCTGGGCGGCTGGAATGATGGAGGAATTGAGATGCAGGTCAAATATTCTGCGTCCTTTTCAATCCAGAGCGCGACTGTCATCCCGCGCAGTGACTTGTTTTCATTCATTCTCTCCACCACGCTCCCTGCTGTGCCATCATCGGCCTAGACAAGAAATGAAACTGACACGGCATTGCTGTATGATTTTAAGTTGACTACGTGTGATAACTACATTTTTTTCGGGGGGGGGGGGGTAAGATAACACTTGGTTTTTAAAATACCTTCACTAAACTAACTTGGTCCATTACTTAATCTGTAATCAAACATCTCCAGCTCCAACTTCAAAAACGACACTGTGGTACCTTGTGTTATACAACCCACTTAACATAAGTGCTTCAAGAAATAGTTGTGCCTTCCCTGCTGGGGACATCCCAGGGTATATGTTATTGATGTCGGCGGAAAGGAAATATGTAAGTGAGATCTACAGTATCTATACCTAAGACCCCGGACACTGCAAAGGGGGTGAAAAGTCCTCCAGAAAATGTAAGTTTCAGGAGTAGATGTGACTAAGGAGAGGAAGGTGGCCTCTGTAGTGAAATTGTTTGCATGGATTGTTGTAGGAAAGAACTACTTTTTGCGATTTTAAGATCTGCACAAGTGCAGTCTGAGGTAAAAGATGTTCATGGGAAGTAGTGTGACAAGCTTAGTAGCAGAATGCTGAAGCCTATCTGGTTTGCCTCAGTAGGTACACTTACGTACTAATATACTCACTAGCATATTCCACTGTCAATGCATGTTTTGCTAATTTCTGCTTTGCTATATTCAGGATGTACTGGAGTTAGCAGGCCTGAGTTTTAGAAAACTTTGAGGACACTGGCCTGTTTCTGTGCGCCAGTTCCTGCTGGTTCTAGCTCTGTCGTTGTTCTAATAGCCTATGAAAATTGTATATAGTGCTGCATAGTTTAACTAAACCTCAGATCACTTTGACTTTAGTGAGAGTGTATGCATGTCTAAAGTAATACTGAGTTAAAAGAATATGGAAGAGAAAGAATTAATCAAGTGACCTAATCGGATAAACAATAGAGAAAAACTGGAAAACAAAGCCCAGATATATGATTGCCTCTCATCTAAAGCTGTAAGCCGAATAAACACTAAAAGTTGGTCATAGGTATTGCCTGTAGGAGACATTAGTAATAATGACATCAAAATATAATATTAAGCTCTAACCGGTTTGGCTCAGTGGATAGAGCATCGGCCTGCGGACTGAAAGGTCCCAGGTTCGATTCCGGTCAAAGGCATGTACCTTGGTTACGGGCACATCCCCAGTAGGGGGTGTGCAGGAGGCAGCTGATCCATGTATCTCTCTCATCAATGTTTCTAACTCTCTATCCCTCTCTCTTCCTCTCTGTAAAAAATCAATTAAAAAAAATTATATATATATATATATAATATTAAGCATTTCCAGTAGTGCTTACTATATGGTAAGCCCCCAATGAGTATTTGTTAAAGAATAAATAAGTGGCATATTACAGTCTTTGGGTTGGAAATCCATATTAAACCTTCCCTATAAAGTACTTGAAGAGGATAATATGCCAAAAATATCAACAAGATTTAAAAGCTGCAAAATCTAGGTTATTACCAGGTTAGCTATGTACTTTGAGCTAATTTTTCAGTTACTAAATCTCTGTTTAATGATTCTTTATGAACAGCCTCTGTTTTCACACTTGCTTTATATTTGATATTTTTTTAAAGTGAAATATTTTTTATTGTTTTAAATTCCTAGGCAGAAGATGGCCAAGGAAAGGAACCTCAAAAAGTCCTTTCAAGAAAGTCTTGAAGAAATAAAGAAACGAATGAAAGAGAAAAGGAATAAAAACTTGGCAGAGATTGGCAAACGAAAGTCTTTTGTAGTTGCACCATGCCAAATAATCAGTAAGATTTTCATGCTGTTCTTTTGCATCACTTTATAAGTTTAAATTTAATAACTAATAAAAAAAATTTATCCTCTTTTAGCCAACACTTCTACACTGCTAAAAAACTACCAAGACAACAACAAAATGTTAGTTTTAGCTTTGGAAAATGAAAAATCCAAAGTGAGAGAAGCCCAAGACATCATCCTCCAGCTGAGAAAAGAATGTTACTTCCTCACATACCAGTTATATGCATTGAAAGAAAAACTTACTTCACAACAAACAGAAGAACCTGCTCAGGTATTTTCATTACAAAAGCTCTTAGGGGAAAAAAATGGTAAAGTATGAATTAGTAGTTTAGTCACTTAGGCTAGTTTAATTAATTACTGATAACTGTAAATCAGTACTATAAATCTTAGCTTTTTTATGTAGTTTTGCTACATCTAGTGGGGTTTTATAAAAACTGTTAATTTGGGGGTGGGAGCATTTATGTGCTTCTAGAGAATCATTTTTATCTACTAGGTGGCTAAATAAAGATTATTCATTAATTCCCAAACAAGAAATATCCTGAACATTTTTCTGTCCACATTTTTAATTGGATTCTGTTTGTATCCAAGGTTCTATAAAAGGATAAGCCAGACTATAACAGACATGGGAAAAGCTTGGTTTAGAATATTCTTTGTGTCTCATTGAAGGTTAATCCTGAGAAGAGTAATGATGAGCCAGTTTCTTCTTTTTCCCAGAAGCCACTGCCAGGGAAATGCATGGGGCAGAGAAAGAGAAAGCAGTGTTGAGTTTCTAGTGTTAACAATTACGTTCTTCCCTGGTGGCCGTTTGATTGCTATACCAGTGAAGACAGTTGTGTTAGCAGGAGACCAGAGAAGAAAGCCAGACCATAGTGATTAGAGTAGGGACATGGACCTGAGAAAGGAATTAAAGTCACCTCTCTGTTGACAAGAGTCAGTGAAAGAGTTCTTGCTTCCCTGCAACTAAGGTGATTCCACATTTTTTCTATGTGTGATATATAGAATGTATGTGTATATTATATTCCTATCCAGTGTAGTAGAGAATTTTCCTTATAAAGGTAAAATATGATTTCTTTACCTTTATGTGAGGTTGGATTATTTAATTAAAATTTTTTTCCTTCAAAAATGCATCTTTTCTAATTTTTTTCTTTTCCTTTTTCTGGCAAATAGCTTTAAAATACTGCCTATCTGCTAATAACTTACAAATTTATAGCTCAAGACCTACACATACACAGCACAACTATTTGACATGGCCACTTAAATATTTATAAAGGATTTTAAACATATTCTGTAGGGAACAAAACTCTATTTCCCACCCTACCAAAGATATTGTGTACTTCTATCTCCCTCCTTAAGTCACGCATCTCAATAAAACAACCTTCCCCATTTGTTCAACTCAAAACCTTCCACTTGGCTTTACTGCCATAGCCACAGAATTCCAGTCCTAGCTAATATCATGTCTTGTTTCGTTTACTATGATGACTTCCTAACTCCTTGGCCCTTTTCAATCCATGTTTCACAGTGGCCAGACTGATGTTTTTGTTGTCGTTGTTAATCCTCACTCGAGGCTGTTTTTTCCATTGATTTTTATAGAAAGGAAAGGAGGGAGAGAGAGAGAAACATTGATGTGAGAGAATGCCCTGACCAGGTCCTGGGATCGAGCCTGCAACCGAGGTACAGGCCCTTAACTGAAATTGAACCTGAAATCCTTCAGTCCTCTGGCCAGTGCTTTACCACTGAGCCAAACCAACTAGGGTCAGACTGATCTTTTTAAAAATTGGGTCATTTGTACTTCCCTGCTTAATATTTAAGTGACTTTCCATCACACATAAACTAAAATTTAAACTCATGGTTCTCAGAGCCCTACATTATCTAGCCAATGGCTTTTTTCTAAACACACAAGGTTTTTTTGTATATCATGACCTTTGTATTTGCTGTATCCATGGCTTTCTCTTCCCCCAGCTCTTTCAATGGCTGGCTCCTTTGCATTCTTCAGATTTCAGATGAAAATCACCCTATCTAAAAGAGCCCTCCACCTCAATTACTTTCTGTCACTTCACTATTTCCTTTGTAGCATTTAATACACTGAAATTATTTATATACCTGTCTTTTTTAAGAAAAATTTCCCTACACTAGAATGCAAGTTTTAAGAAGGTAGAACTAAAAAAATGTTTAGACCCATTTTCTGGAACAGTGCCTGGCACCATGATAGACTATCAATAAGTGTTTGTTGTTATTTTTTTTTATTATATTTTTATTGATTTCAGAGAGGAAGGGAGAGAGAGATAGAAACATCAGTGAAAATCATTGATTGGCTGCCTCCTGCATGCCCCCCACTGGGGATCAAGCCCGCAATCAGGGCATGTGCTGTTGTCCAGAATCAAACCTGGGACCCTTCAGTTCCCAGGCTGACGCTCTATGCACTGAGCCAAACCAGCTAGGGCAATAAGTGCTTATTTTTTAATAAATTAATGTTTTGGGATGAATATTTCAGTTTTACTAATGTTTTCTTTCTTTTAATACATTCACAGAACCATGAAGTAAGTTCTTCTGGAATGAACTCCGGTGATGACAAGAACTCTGAGGATTTATTTGTGAAGGATTTACCGTTAGTATCAAATTCATTGTTATGCTTATTGATATCAGAGGAGATGTAATTCTGTGATCCATTTATGGAAGGATATTTGCATCATATTGAGCCCTATTTTGAGCCTCATGTTCTCTCTACTGAGCATATAGTTAAAAAAACTTGATGTGTTAAAATTCTGTTATAAATAGCCAAACCAAATCTTTCTTATAGTTACTTTTTTGATGTCTAAGAATAAGAAGCTTTTCTAGAATTTTTAAATTATTCCCTTCAGTTGTATTTTTCTTATGCCAAGTTTTTATTCTAAGAAGGATTGGTTATTCAAATGATGGTATTTTGCTAGTACTACAGATAAGTCTGTTTTAGAAAAGAAATATAATAAAACATATTTAATACCACTGTCACATTGCCTTGCTAAACCAACTTATTCCTTAATACAATCAGATCCCATATATCCTCTTGTCCTTCTCTTGGATCAAGTATACTTTGTTTGTTTATGAATTACTGCGATATAATTAAAATGCACAGTTGGTAATTATACAGTTCAATGAGTTTGACTAATGTATAGTCAAACCAAGATCTCAGTTAAGATACAGCCCTAGCTGGTTTGACTCAGTGGCTAGAGTGTCGGCCTGCGGACCATCAGGTCCCAGGTTCGATTCCGGTCAAGAGCATGTACCTTGGTTGCAGGATCCTCCCTGGCCCAGGCCCTGGTTGGGGCTCATGCAGGAGGCAACCAATCAATGTGTTTCTCTCACATTGATAATTTTCTCTGTCTTTCCCTCTCTCTTCTACTCTCTCTCTCTAAAAATCAATGGAAAAATATCCTCAGGTGAGGATTATAAAAAGAAAAAACAAGATACAGAGCATGGCCATAACTCGAGCCTGAAGTTTCTCAGTCTTAACACTATTGACTTTGGGCCAGGTCATTCTTTGTTTTAGAAGGCTGTCCTAAGCATTCTGGGTATTTAGCAATATCAAGTGGGAACTATTGCCATAAGCCATTTATTTCCTCATATCCCTTTGAGTCTGTGCCCCAGTCCTCATAGAGATAATCACTAATATGATTTCTATCCCCATATTAATTTTAATAATTAATTCTAAAACTGCTGAACTTTAACATCTGACAAAATATTTATGTAATGGGCAAAAAGTAAAATGAGATAATTGGGTCTTTATAAGATTTTTTAAATTGTTATTAGTTTGTTACCATGACTGTGTTGCCTAAACCTGTATTTAAATTTTGATTTCTAGAGGTGAAAAAATTATCTACAGTAAATAAAAAACAAAGTTATAATTAAAATGAAACAGCCAATAATAGTATTAGAGCATAGAGAAAATTCTTTTTCCATGCACCAAAGGACAGGATTTTTTATTTTTTTAATGAACAGTGTTAACTTCAGAGTAGTCAGTAGTTAAGCATCATAAAAGCCAGTACTACCAAAAACTCAGCTAATGATAAAGCAAGCTCCTAAAGCGTGGAATAATCACACCGCATTCCTTTGGTATATTTTATGTCAATTCCCATTGGCTGTTTCTCCAGTTAAATGAAATTATGAGTTATGTCATGTTTTAAGAAAGAACTGTCCAATTTTATATATTAGTTAATCCAGTAAGAATTGAATGTCAGTCGTAACAAATCGGCCTCCATGTAATCAGTACAAATGTTGTTTGGTTTCCTTTGATGTAGAATAGATGTACAGACTTAGAATGAAATTATGAAATATAATATTCTACTTTCAAGAAAAATCTTAAATTTATTTTTATTTCATAATTGTTAATTAAATTTCTATTTTTCAATGGTATTTCTAAGGCAAGCTCCTCTTCAGGAAGATCACCTTCCAGAACAAGGAGAATCGTTCCAAATAGAAGGTAATTCAAGTGAAAATCTGAAAATATAATGTGAAGGGTAAGATGAGGTCTTTGAAAAAAAGTAACATAATTAAATTTCTCTAATTTTCCTTTTTAACTTTTTAATCTTTTCACCTGATATTCTTCTACTTAAAGCATATCTGTTTATTTTACAAAAAATAATAAGAGTTTTAAAGTATATCCATTTATTTTGCCAAATCTATAATTAGAAACCTTAGCTATAACTGTGGCTGCAATTTCCTGAACCTGACAACATATTAAGATCTGTGTTAGGCATTTTACATATATTATCTCAACCATCACAACAACCTTGCAATATAGGTACACTCAGTCCCATATTATATAGACTCAAAGAAGTAACCCAGATGGTAAGAATCAAGCTTTAAACTCAAAGCTAACCTCCAAAGCCATGCCCTTCTTTCTACTTTTAAATCATTGTGTCCCTATTCTCAAATATCAATCCTCTACTTAACTAAGTTCTAAAGAAGGGAAAGCATTTGAATAAGCAGTTCCAAATTTTCCCACTTTAAAATGCAGATTATATTTCCTACCTGAAATGCTTTCCAGTTATTCCAATTTTTCTCATTTTTCAAATAACAACTTAGTTTCACTTTCCTTGTGTATTTGTCCTACTTTGGAATATGAGATCCCTTTTCTCTCAATCCTATACACATAGATACATGTAAACTACTAGTTATTCTTTAAATGAGGGGCACATAAAACCCCAGGTTAGAATATTTTTGAATATTAATATAAGATTCTTCCACAGGTGATATATAAGCTATCAAATGATCACTGCCAAATAACCGGATGGTAATATTAATTTCTCTACATTTTTATTTACTTACTAGAGGCCCGATGCACGAAATTCGTGCAAGGGGCTTGGCCTTCGCAGCCCTTGCTTCATTTGGAAGGACGTCCAGAAGGTCGTCCAGAAGGTCATTTGGCTGTCCCGTCTAATTAGCATGTTACGCTTTTTTACTATAGATAGATTGTAAATGTGGAGAAACTACAGAATGGCTTCACTTATTCCATTTTTAACTTTGACTTCTAAGATCCTTGAAATTAAAATTTCCATAAAGTAAAACTATTTTTCTCATTTGTTTTTTAAATTCTCAGAGCAAATGCCTACTATTCCTCCAGACAGTCTGGGATTTGATTTGGATTCAGCTGAAGATACATCTACTGATAATATCTTACCTAGAACTGTATCTCTCCGCCGCAACTTAAAGAAACATTTTAACAATTTAGGCCAATTCAACACCTTCGATAATTTTGAAATCAGTCATATGTCAGAGCAGTCTTCTGGGTTGGAAACAATTAGATTTGTAGACCCACTAGTAGACATGCACAGAACTGAAAATGTAGAACAAAATATTTATCAGTGGAACAAGGATCAAATTAACATATCACCAAAGCTGACTCACCCTGGAGGATCTGCTAAAAGAAAAGAAAATATTTTAGAGTATAAATCTGAGCAAACTAAAAATAAACAAAGAAGAAAAAGAGGAGAGAAAAGAAAAGCTAACAGAAGGAGAAAATCAAAATATGTATGTAAGTATAAAGGAATCACAAGTAAAAATAGAAAACCTGTTTCCAAAAAAAAGGTGGATGATTTTATCACTTCCAATGATGCTTACAATTTTAATTTGGAAGAAGGTGTTCATCCTTCTCCTTTCCGACAAAAAATGAGCAATGATTCTAAAAAAGAAGAAGATGCCAATGTATCCGAAGTGAGCAGCTATGAATCAAGTAGTTCAGAAGAGGATTCTGATGACCTCTATTTGCCCACTTGCAAGGACAGTCCAAGTCTCACCAGCCAATCAGATAGGAGCCCAGCCACCAGGCCTCGATCTACAAGAGCACTACGATGTAGGGATGAAAAAGAGATGGAGAGTTCTCAGCCAACAAAAACTCCTACCAGTAAGTGATCTACTTGTTTGCCTGCATTTTTAATGTTTATGATAAATGATCACTCCTGATGCTTATATACTATACTTACCATCTGTTTCTCTGGGGGAGGTTAGAGACTTGCCATCTGTCTCTTTGGGAGAAATTAACAGTCTGATTAAATAATGGAGGGTCTAGGGGTGGAAATCACTATTGCTCTGAACTGCTTTAAGGTAATTTAGGTTCTCTTTAAGAACAAATATGGGGGGAAGTAGAAGAGGTTAAAATGGGGAATAAATGGTGACCAAAGGAGACTTGACTTTGGGTGGTGAACATACAATATACAAATGATGTATCATAAAATTATACACTTGAAACCTGTATAATTTTATTAACCAATGTCACCCCAATAAATTCAATAACAATTTTAAATTAAAAGAACAAATACTACTTGTGGAGGAAGCATTTCTACTTTTAGTAAATGAAGCTTTTCAAGGCAAGGAAAAACTTTTTGTGGAGTTAGGTTGAATTAAAACATCTTTCATAAACTCACCTGAAACACCCCTTAAAATGAAATCAACTTAAATCCAGGACCTGTCATTTTAATTGCTTCGCTTTATATTCGATTTGACAGGAACTATGATTTTAAATAATTTTCTAGTTAGTGGATGTGGCCTAATAAGACCAAAAAACTCTTTCCTCAATTGATGGGCTTAGTATTCTTTTGTAAGACATCTAAAAACTGGCTTAGGCCCTAACCGGTTTGGCTCCGTGGATAGAGCATCAGCCTGTGGACTGAGGGGTCCCAGTTTCAATTCCGGTCAAGGGCAGGTACCTTGGTTGTGGACACATCCCCAGTAGGGGGTGTGCAGGAGGCAGCTGATCGATGTTTCTCTCTCATTGATGTTTATAACTCTCTACCCATATCCCTTCCTCTCTATAAAAAAAAATCAATAAAATATTAAAACATTAAAAAAAAAAACTGGCTTAGAAGATCTTGCCTTTGTTAGATCAAAAGTCAGCATGATTCAGAGGTTGAGGATATAGCCTGCACCTGCCCACAAAGATTCTCATCTGGGATTTAATTAGTTTGGAAAAAATAACATACACAGTCAGGTTTTATCATTCTCAAAATTGATCCTAAGAACAACTCTGTGAAGTAAAGGTGTAATCATGCTTGCTTGTTTGTAAGGAAACTAAAGCCTAAAAGACTTTCCAAGGCCAACCAGTTAGGTGGGATAGCTTACAAATACCTTTTTTAAAAATATGCTATGACTCGAGGCCCAGTGCACAAATTCGTGCATAGGTGGGGTCCCTCTGGGTGGCCTGCAGGGATCAGGCTGAAACCCACAGTCCAACGCTGCCTTCAGCTCCTACCTGCTGCTCCTGCTCATCCCAGCCCCACTGTACCTGCCGCAGGCTTGCGCCCAATCAGTCCCGATCAGGAGAGGCTTGCGGTGCCGCAGCAGTGCTCACCAGCTATGAGCCCTGTGTCTGGCGCCCTCCCAAGGGGAGTGACCTGCAGAATCGGGCTGAAACCGGCTCTCTGACATCCCAAAGGGTTCCAGATTGCGAGAGGGCACAGGCCAGGCTGAGGGACCCCACCAGTGCATGATTGAGCTGGGGAGGGACTGCAGGAGGGCTCCAGGGCATGTCCAGCCCATCTCGCTCAGTCCCAAACAGCCAGACCCCAGCAGCAAGCTAACCTACTGATTAGAGCATCTGACGCCTGGTGGTCAGTGCATCTCATAGCAACTGGTCGACCAGTTGATTGTCTGCCCCCTGGTGGTCAGTGCACGTCATAGTGAGCTGTTGAGCAGTCTTAGCATATCATTAGCATATTATGCTTTATTGGTTGTTCTGCTGTTCGGTCTATTTGCATATTACCCTTTTATTATATAGGATGATGCTAGAGTCAATCACACAATTTTGGCAAAATGTTGATAATTATTGAAGCTTGGTAACTATACTATTGTCTCCATCTTTGTGTACATTTGAAAATTTCCATACATTTTTAAAAGAAAACATGCACATTCTAAATAGTGTTACTCAGGGTGTGGTCCCTGGACCTTCAGCATGAGGGTTACCTGGAAATTTCTTACAATTGCAGAATCTCAGGCGATACTCCTTAATCTTGAGTCAGAATCTGCATCTTTTTTAAAAGTTCCCTGGGAGATTTGTGTATACATTAAACTTTACAGAATATAACAGTTGATCTGATGTTTTTACTTAACCATATTTTCCAAATTGAAAATTAGAATAATTAGTATAGTACAGTATGCTCATGTGGGTACAAAAAAAAGAATATTTGTGCCCTAACGGGTTTGGCTCAGTGGATAGAGCATCAGCCTGTGGACTGAAGGGTCTCAGGTTCGATTCTGGTCAAGGGCATGTATCTTGGTTGCAGGCACATCTCCAGTAGGGGGTGTGCAGGAGGCAGCCAATCGATGTTTCTCTCTCATCGATGTTTCTAACTCTCTATCCCTCTCCCTTCCTCTCTATAAAAAATCAATAAAATATATTTTTTTTAAAAAAAGAAGAATATTTGAAACCCAGATAATCCTAGAGAACAGGGTTACTAAGTATAAAGTCATTTTACAGTCACAATGTAGTTAGTTGTTCTCGGGAAATGATTTGCTTTTCAAAGCTATTTGAAAAGATTGTTTGTTTTGCTGTTTCCTTACTGTATGCTAGGTATCTGTCCCCCAGTATAGATATTGTTCCAAAGTAGAATAATGTGGGTACGTATGATAGGAAAAACACTGGATAACTCTTTAACCTACTAGCTTTACTAGAGGAAACTCCATTTCTCCTGGTTTACACAGAGGCTGTGATTTAGAGTTCTCATTTATGTAAGAGAATGAGTTTAAGTGGCTTTATAAGAATATAGAAAGCCACTTGATGATAAGTTTTGGCACTGAAAGAGATAGAGGCCTTAATGACTCTAAAGAGCAAGATGTGACTAAAATGGCCCTGACCAGTTTGGCTCAGTGGCTAGAGCGTCGGCCTGCGGACTGAAGGGTCCCGGGTTCGATTCCGGGCAAGGGCATGTACCTTGGTTGTGGGCACATTCCCAGTGGGAGGTGTGCAGGACGCAGCTGGTCGATGTTTCTCTCTTATCGATATTTCTAACTCTGTCTCTCCCTTCCTCTCTGTAAAAAAAAATCAATAAAATATATAAAAAAAAGATGTGACTAAAATGAAATTCCATAGTTAATTTTCAAGAATTTTAACTTTTAGTAAACTATCGTGTCAGTTTTTCATATCTACAATACTTAGCATTTCAATGTCATCTGGGATGAAAACCTGATAAACAGGTTTAAAAATCTGTATTATAAAATGCTGGATTCTGTATATATTTCGGATATGTAATTGCATACGATTTTATTTCCTATGGGGGGTGTGTGTGTGTGTGTGTTTTGTTTTGTTGGGTTTTTTGGACTCATATTCAGTAAAAGTTGTTTTTGTAGGTGCAGTACCTGAAACTCACCAGTCACCTCGTTTTAGCCTGAAGGATATCACCAATGTCCCCTTGTATACTGAAGTGAAAATTAGAAAACTTTCTCTTTCTCCACAACAGAAGAAAGAAGGCCCAGGAGGGTCTCTGCCTAAGCGTAGGTGCACAGTCAGTGTGAACTATAAGGAACCCACACTCGCTTCGTAAGTATTTAATGTGTGGGAACTCACTTTTAATGATACAGTTGGGGGGCGGGGGGAATAAGGTAATGGAGCTTTGTACAAGAGTGAATCTTACTTGATATATAAAATTTTGATTAAAAAAACTGAAATGGGAATATTAACACTGGCCTATTTTACAGTAACTTTATCCTAAAGAGTAAGTCAGTATTGGGGTGCTGAAGAGCTCTTTTTATCTTTATAGGAAACTAAGAAGAGGAGACCCTTTTACAGATTTGTGTTTCTTGAATTCACCTGTTTTTAAGCAAAAAAAGGATTCCAGACGCAGTTCTAAAAAGAAAAAAAAAGTATGAAGCAAATACAGTAAAGCATTTGTTGGACATGGTTTAAATACATCCCAAAGAGAATAGAAAAAGTAAATAAGTAAATTCATCCCGCAGCCCTTTCTATTGCTCCAAGAGAGAATCTATAAGATAGCACACAAGTGGGGTGGACTGTGCCATAGAATATTCTCTTGATGGGACTTTAGATCACAGATGTTTTTTAAAAACTATACTTCAAATGTGATCTTTTTGCTTAAGCCTTTAATAGATTTGGTTTATTTTTTATTTTAAATATAAACAACTGGACTGAAGCACTATTATAGTTAGATTTCTTACACTGCCTAACACCCATAATTTTAGTCAAAATGTATCTTATGCCAACATTTTGGGAATTAATGATTATTCAAATAACATATTGTAATTAGAAGCTTCTGGCCCTTTTACTTTTCCCTTTAGTGGGGATTACGAGAATGACTTTTGAAAACAGGCTGAGGATCTTTTGAAACTCCTTATATAATATTTGAATAAAGTAAATTCTTGATATTCACAGTAGGGTATACTCTATTGTTTGTGTCTCCCTTATACCATTGTTGTATTTAATTTTTCAGATAAAATGTGCATGAGTTCATGACATTAATTTAAAGGAGAAAGAAGTGCATGGCTTTGGAGAAAATTGATATTAGAGTGAGGGACTAGTTAAGTAACTAATTGAACCCCAAGCTAAGCTCTGGAAATATATTGTTCAAAGTGATACCTCAACAAAATCACAAATTATTATGTCATGGACTTTCAGGATAGTTACTTATTTAGTCAACTCAAATGTTAAATGACTGAATGCCAAGGATTTATTTGTATTTTTGATTAACCAATGAGAGGGAATTAGTTCAGTTCTGAAAGTTTGAAGCCACTGCTTGTATATACCTCTTTAAACTTTAAAGTACTGTAGATTATCGATTTTTAAAGAGCAATAAAATTTATATAATATAGTGTTTGTATTTTTCTTATTTGTAAGATATTTTTCTTTTTTTTGGGGGGGGGGCGGTTAATCCTCACCCAAGGATATTTTTCTATTGATTTTTAGAGAGAGTGGAAGGGAGAGGGAGAGACAGAGAAACATCGATGTGAGAGAGACACATCAATTGGTTGCCTCCTGTATGTGCCCTGACCAGGGCCAGCGATCAAGCCTGCAACTGAGGTACGTGCCCTAGACCAGAATCGATCCCAGGACCCCTCAGTTCTATCCACTGAGCCAAACTGGCTTGGGCTGTTTTTCTTTAAATATCAAAGAGTATGCATGTGGTCATCTTACTTTCTAGCCTCACTGTTCTCATCCTTCTTGAACACTTCTCTTCCCACTTTGGTTTTTTTCTGTAGTCACTACCATGAAGCTCTTAGCTCACCCACCATACTCTCAACATTTCTCTCAACTTTTCGTTGTGGAATGATCAACCAATTCTATTTTGGTGGAGGATTCTTCCAATCCTGACCTCCAATTTTCTTGACTATACCTCCCTGCATTCTGTATCAGGCACACCCCAAATCTTTTCATCAGCCAAAATTTTATTTCTGACCTCCAAAGCCATGCGCTTCTTTCTACTTTTAACGTCCCTGTTCTCAGATACCAGTCCTCACTGATTTGAATGTCCTACTTTCCCATCACAATCTCTTCCCCCCCCTTTATTTGTTCAACCAGTCCCCTTACACCTGTTCTTTAAATTCATAAAAACTCTTAAATGGCTGTCTTAATGTAATTAAGATTAAATCCAATTTAAAATTAATTTTTCAATCATAGTAGCCACATTTCAAATGCTCAGTAGCCACTTATTGGGGACAATGCAGACAGAGTATTTCCATCTCCACAGAAAGTTCTATAGGACAATGCTGCTCTGGGCCAGCAGTGGGCAAACTATAGCCTTTGGACCAAATACAGCCCTCTGCCTGCTTTTGTATGATCTGCAAGCTAAAAAATGTCTTGTTTTTAAATGGTTGAAAAAAAAATGAAATCTTGGCTATTGATTTGGTGGTAAAAACACTAAATTTGAACCCAATAAAGCACTTACATAAAATTTTTGATTTCACCTTTTTGGCCTGCAACCTAAAATATTTATTTTCCAGCCTTTACCGAGAACGTTTGCCAACTCCTGCTCTAGATATTTATTGCCTTTACTTTGGTAGATCGTTCTCTGTTGACATTTTCTGACCTAGTTTTGATCCTTCATCTTCAAAATCATCATTCCAAATTTGGTGTTTTTGTTCTTTTAATATTTCTGCATTCTTGCTGTAATGTTTATCCATAGACTGTTAAGGATTGTTTTAACATTTTACATGAATGTTATATTGTATATACCTCTTTGCAACTGACTTGTAACTTAACTGTGTAAGATTTATCCATGCTGGCAAATGTAGGTTATTTTCATTGTAGAGTATTTTGTTATATAAATAAATCAGACGTTCTTCTTTTGAGATATAATTTGCTTCCACTTTTTCATTACTACAAATTATTGCTTCAGTGAATATTCTACATCCTTGTACATGTGTTAAGTTTCCATGGAGTTGATTACCTAGAAGTGGCTCTGCTCTCTAAAGTGGTTGTACCCATCCTCCTGACACCGGAAGTGTATCACTCTCCTAATAGCTTAAGTTTCCAGTTTCCCCATCACTATCACTTGGTGTTACTGAACATTAAAAAATTAGCCAGACCAATAAGTGTGAAACGGTTTATGTTTTAATTACTTAAAAGATTTTATTTTGTGAGAATTCATGTGTTTATTGGTCATTCTCATTCTTTCTATGAATTGCTTATATCTTTGGCCCACTTTTCTACTAGAATATCTTTTCTAGTACAGTTTCTTTATATATTCTAGCATTCTTTGTCTTTATTTACATGGGTTACTCCAGTTACTGGTTTATAATTTTCTTGTAATTTTTTTTTTCTGGCTTTAGATTTAGGCTATTTAGATTATTATACTAGCCTCATAACATGTTTTCTGAAAAATAACCTATTTTCTGTGTTTGTGTAGGATACTTTTTCCTTAAATATTCAACAAATTAGTGAAGCCATTTGTGCTTTGAGTTTTGTTTGAAAAAAAAAGGTTTTTCATTATAAATTTAGTTTAATTAATACGGGGATGTTTAGGTTTTATATTTCTTCTTTAGTCAGTTTTGCTAATCTATCACACAAGGTATTATTCATTTCATCTAATTATCAAATGAGTTGGCATGTTGTTGTTTATCCCCTTATCCTTTTAATATCTTATATACAAGAGCTCTAGTTATGTCCTCTCTCATTCCTGATACGTACTGGTAATTTGTACTTTCTCTTTTTTCTTGATAAGCCTAGCTAGAAGTTTATCTATTTTAAAGAACTGGTAATTACAGTGAGTTGACTTTCTGTTCATTCATTTCCTATTTCATTGATTTGTACTCCTTCGTATTCTTCCTTCTACTTTGGGTTTAATTTGCTGTTTCTCTACTTTTTTAAGGTAGGCTGAATTCAGACCTCTCTTATTTTAATGAGTATTTTAATGCTATGTTTCCTCTTCAGCACTGTATAAGCTGTATCCCACAAGTGATCTATTATTTTCACCTTCATTTAATGAAAGATATTTTCTAATTTTGCTGTGACTTTTTGTCTTTTTTACCTCTATGCATTCTGGATAGCTTGTAGTGCCATATCAAGTTTACTTATGTTTCCTTCTGCTATGTCAAATATATTGATCCCATCCAGTGAATTTTTCACCTCTGGAAACTCCCATTTGGTTCTTTTTAATATATGGGGTGGGCAAAAGTAGGCTTACAGTTATAATACAATAGAAAATACAAGGATACAGTATTTCACATACTCACCTGTAAACCTACTTTTGCCCCACTGTGTATCTTCTATTTTCCTCCACATTGTACTCATGTCTTTTTTATATCCTTGAGCATACTTATGTTTATAAATGCTGTTATAATATCCTTGCCTGCTAATTCCACTATCTCATTCAGATCTGGATCAGTTTTTATTGGTCAATTTTCCTCTTATGTATACCTTTCTTAAGACATGACGTATCTAGTCTCCACTGAATGTGCCATGTGTTTAAGAAGGTCTGTGCTCCAGTTTCTGGGTGTAAATGACTCCCAGCCCTGTGCAAGCTCTGAGAGTTGTGTGGCTTCTCGGTAATTATTCTTTACCTCACAGCTGTTCTTTCCCTAGCTTCGTGAAGTTTCACCCTACACATGTGCAGGTTAGTATTTCACTAAGACTTAGGGACCCCTAAGCAGATTCTGGAGCTCTCTCTGCATAGCTCCTTTGCCTTCAGTACTCTGCTAGCAAATTCTAGCTTCCTCGAGGATTCTATCTTCTCAACTCAGTGGTAGTATTGGACTCCGTTTGGATTCCCTCTTTTGAAACTGCCATGGGAAGAAATATGGGCTCATTCTGCTGATTTTCCTTCTCTCTAGGATCATGGCCCTATTATACCTGTTGTCCAATTTCTGAAAACAGTTTATTAATATACCAAGTCAAATTTTCTCATATTCACTTCCAGTGTGTGAACAAGTGCCATAGTAGTTATACCTTCATGGGCCGAGGTGGAAGCCAATGATTTACAGTGGGGCCTTGACTTACGAGTGTCCCGACTAATGAGTTTTTAGAGATACGAGCCATCTCTCTCTCGGCCGATTTTTTGCTTAGAGTTGCGAGCTAAAATTCGGGTTACAAGCCAGCTTTAAATACCCCACCGCTAGTTGGCGCAGCGAACGTCACAGTGAAGGCCACATCATCAGCCCAGCATCACGTGTCTCGTTCACTTTTTGATTTGACATACGAGTAATTTGAGTTACGAGCTCCGTCACAGAACGAATTAAACTCGTAAGTCAAGGCCCCACTGTATTCTGCTTTGGAGTCACTGATTTTTATTAACAGTCATGCCTTTTATTGATTACAAGAGAATTCTTAGTTTCTTGAATATTGCTTTTTCCTCTATTCTCTCCTTACACAACTTCTAATACTAATAATTATTCGATTTTGACTTAACTAAATTCAGTACCAGGCACTGTCCTAGGCATTTGGGATACCTCGGTAAGCAAAACAAATACGCTGCCTGAATGGAATTCACATCGTTTTACAGCCTAACCCAGGGGTGGGCAAACTTTTTGACTCGAGGGCCACAATGGGTTCTTAAACTGGACCGGAGGGCCGGAACAAAAGCATGGATGGAGTGTTTGTGTGAACTAATATAAATTCAAAGTAAACATCATTACATAAAAGAGTACGGTCTTTTTTTTTCAATAGTTTTATTCATTTCAAACGGGCCGGATCTGGCCCGCGGGCTGTAGTTTGCCCACAGCTGGCCTAACCTCTGTCTCTTAAACCCTTTTCCCTAGTTCTTTACCTGTGTTGTTTCATTTCATCAGTTCTATGTTCCAGGTCACGCATTCTGTCCTTGGATGTATCATACATAGCCTATTTAGCCCGTTTTGCTATTTTTAACAATTATACGCACTTATTTTCTTTCAGAGTATTGATGTTGTTTTCACATTAGGTGTCTAAACTTGGTATTTTTTTTGTTTGCTAACTTTTATGATTTGTTTGCTCATGCTTCCTAGTTTTCTATGAACTCATCCTTCATGGGACAAAAATTTGATCGTGCTTAACAGCTTAACTTCCTACTAGTATTTCCCTTAGAGTCCAGTATTCTCAATATGACATATTATGGCACTATACCGTCTCAGACCATTCCTCTCCTGTTGGGTTATCGCATTAACGTCATTCTTGACTGCTTCAGGGATTTCTCAGCCTACACTGTTTCTGCCTGCCTGCCTCCAAACTTTGCCTTAGTTAGTGCCCACATTTGCAGCACACAGATTAAGTCATTTCCTCTGGGAAGCTTTCCCTAAACTCCCACTTACCAGATTGTCCCTTTTTTTTTCTTTTTCTCATATATGAGCGTTTATTCCAATACTGCCAGCAGCAGGGGAGAGCAGCAGATCCACAAGTATCT